TCCCAGGCCCCAAAGTTAAATTTTAAAATATTGTAATGACAAGTAAAAAAATTTAACAAGTAAAGGAACATGAATACGAATGTTTTTTTCACCAACAATGATGCCTCAGAAACATCCAAAGATATCAAAGCAGTAGCCTGGAGTTTATCTGCAGTTCCTAATCCCATGCTCAACAGAGCTCTATAAAGAACTCAACCTGGAGCTGCTGATTGCAATAAAGACCCAGCACCACTGCAGGAGTTACCTCCAATGGTGGTGGAGTAAGCACACCTCTCTTAGACAGAAAGGATTAGAGGATCTTCCAACTGAGGGGCTTATCACAAGGGTGAGGGTGCAAAGAGGAAAAGAACCATATTACTTTCCAGAAAGGCTGTTACATAGATATATGAGAATACTCTCATGACCCCCAGATAGGACATTTCCCATTTTAGGTTATCTTACTTTCCTGTACCTCGTATTTTGGCACTTATCACAACTGTCATTAAGTCTTAGTTCATTTTGTAACATGTTTTTCCTGCCAAAATATAAGTTATGTAAGGTCAGAAACTCGTCCTTACTTTATCCCAGCATTCTGGACAGAGTATTGCATATAGCAGACACTCATCTGGTGTTTACTGATTGAAGAAATGAAACAGAATCTCAAATAGGTCTTGAGGGACAAGCATAGGGCAGAGAAGAGAATGTTTTAGCAAACAAATAGAAATACCCATTTTAGAATTTGGAGACAGAAAATAAAGAAAGGGTTATGGTGGGAGATTTTGTAAGGTAAATCTAGAGGTGTAGATTTGGAGAAGATTGTGGTTAGCCAGGAATGTGAACATCTGTTTATCAAGCCCACAGGGCCCTTGCCTTTTCAAAAATACTAAATCTACCTATCAAAAATTGACCAATACTCTGAGATAAAACACACTTTACCTAACTGGATGGGAGAAAACACTTGCAGGATCTGAGAGAAGAGGGGGAGGGAATAGAGGAGGAGATGCAAAAAGAATTAAGATGCATTATATATATGTATCAATTCCCCATGATGAGTGTAATCACTACGTAAACATGTACTAATACAAATAAAAATTTAAAAAGATTTGGGAGAAGAGTGATTAAAAGGCTTCAAACCTTAAACTGGGCATGGTGGTGCACATGTATAATTCCAGCACTTAGAAGGCTGACGCAGAAGGCTCTAAGTTCAAGGCTAGCCTAGGCTACATAGTGAGACCTTGTTTCAAAAAAGTAAAACGAAGTTTTTACCTTAACTATACCCAGCTTAAACACCTAACACAACTATACTACAAAATGGGTACTCTCATACTCCATAATCTACTATAAATATGATAAAATACTCCCCATAATACAGTCTGGTGGTTTTTAGTATATTCACAAGATTGTGCAACCATCACCACTAATTGCAGAACATTTTTATCAACCAAAAAGAAACTCCCAGCCCATGAGTAATCATACCTCATTCACCTCACCCTCAGGCCCTTGCAACCACTTATCTACTTTGTGTCTCTATGGATTTGCCTGTCCTGGACATTTCATATAAATGGAATCACATAATAGGTGGGTTTTTTGTGTCTGGCTTCTTTCACTTAGCCAGTGTTCAATCTTCATCTATGTTGCAGCATGTATGAGTACCTCGTTCCTTTGTATAGCAGAATAATCCATCATACAGATACATGTGTATACCATATTACAAATATTTCTGCTGTGAACACCCATACACAAGGGTTTTTGGGGTCTTTGTCTGCAGTAGTAGAGATTGAACCCTGGGCTGAGGATTTAGCTCAGTGGTTCTGCCGCCTGCCTTGCAAGTGCAAGGTCCCGAGTTCAATCCCTGGTACAAAAAAAAAAAGACTGAACCCAGAGTGTTTGTACTGAGCTACATCCTTGTCTCTTTTTATTTGAGACAGGGTCACCCTAAGTCATTAAGTTCCCCAGGCAGGGCTAAAACTCACAATTCTCCTCCTGGCTAACCATTTTAATTTAGTGCCTTTATTTCTCTTAAGGATGATGTTGCTGAACATGCAAATCAGTTTGTTTTTTCTGGTACTGGGGATCGAACTCAGGCCTTGTGCTTGGGAGGCAGGCCAGGTGCCACTGAGCTAAATACATGAAAACCAATTTTTAAAACTCTCCACTGAGGTTTTTTATTTTGTTTTGTTTCAGAGAGGGTGCTATGTAGTTCAGGCTGGCCTTGAACTCACAGCAATCCTCCTCCCAAGTGCTGGAATTCCAGGGCTGCACCACTACATCAGATTTAAATACAAAATCTTTCTGGTAGGGCCTCTGCCTTTTTAACAGGTTAAGAATGTTCATAGAGACTGTCTTGTCACAACGACAATCACATGCTTCATGGAATCTTAATTAGGACATACTGTTAGAGTCTTCAGATGTTTAAGCTTCCCTCTTGGAAGGCTAATCTGGTGCTTTGAAGAATTAACAGCTTTGGAAACCTGGCAGTGCTTGTGATTCAGACTTCTTTTGAGAACACTGTCACCACCCAATTGCAGGATGTACAGATTGTCAGTGTGTTGTGAAAATGCTCTTCTGAAAGCTGATAGTGCAGCACTGAGCATGGATTACAAATGCGCCCCAGGATTACATTTTTCTTTTCTATCGCTGTGTGTCACGCTTTGCCAAACAGGATGTGGAAAATGAATAAGCAGTTTTCTTATGCAATTCTTAATAGACAATTTGTCTCTATTGTGTAAGAAAAGCATAAAGACAGTTCCACTGATAACAATGTAGCTGCATATGTACAATTTGACTGAATTTATTTTTCCAGGACTTTTAAATTATCAGCACTACTTGAATGAAAGAGATCCAATACATAAATTTTAGAGAATTCTATAGATATTTTTCAATACATCACCTAAAACAAGGAATTTGAAGGCACCTCTCCAATACAGGGGAGGGATGTGAGTATATTCTTATTTTCCTTTACATTCTAAGGTGATACCCCTTAGAGTGATTGAAATCCTTAATTCCTGTGTTAGTCTGTGAGGGCTCCCGTAGCAACAACTCAGACTGAGTGGCTTCAATAACAGAAACGTATTTCCTTACAGTTCTGGAGACTGCAAAGTGTCAGCCAGCTTAGTGCCTGGTGAGGCCTCTCTTGTCTATGGTGGCTTTCTTCTAGCTGTTCTTTCATATAACCTTTCCTCTGTGCTTTCTTCCTCTTCTTATAAGGATATCAGTCCTGTTAGATTAGGACCCTACCTTTATGCCTCTTAAATTATTACTTCCTTGATGAGCTCTTTCCCAGTACAATCACATTCAGAGTTAGGGCTTCAAAATACAAATTTGGAGAGACACACTTCAGTCCCTAACAGTAATCATTAACAAAAAAGACACATAATTTGTGATTATTGTTCTTTTTTTTTTTTTTGGTACGGGGGATCGAACTTGGGATGTGATTATTGTTCCTATGTATAAACCTTCTCAGTGTTTCACTGCCTTTTATTCAGATTTACTATCATAAAGACTTCAAGAAAATATGAGTCCTTATTTCCCCCACTGCCAATTCCTTAACAATTAATGATGATACAACCTTTGAGCATTAAGGTATAATGTGGAAATTGTTTCAGATTCTGGGGATATACACATGAATGAACTGAAGCTCCTCTTAAATATTTATACCCTAAATAGAGTATTAGAAATTTTGAGGGCCGGAGATTTAGCTCAGTGGTTCCGGCGCCTACCCCGCAAATCCAAGGTCCCGAGTTTGATCCCCAGTACCAAAAAGAAAAAAAGAAAAAGAAATTCTGAAAACTACAACAAACACAAATAAGGGTTCAAAAATTCCAGATTGTAAACCATATTACATGTCTTTTTTAGAGGTGGTTGGATATAGAGTGTGTGATGCTGGGATTGATTCATGGTGCAATGCTAGATCAAGGGCACTAGGATTAAGGGTGTGAGTGATACCCATCCTACGTAGCCTGGATAAGATATAAGGGATAGAAAAAGCTGTGGTCATCCCTTGTTGCTTTGCTACCTTCTGCCCACCATGAACTATTTCTCCTCTGCATTGTCACCCTGCCTTGGAGCCAGCCAATTATGGACTGAAACCTCTGCAAACCGTAAGCTAAGTAAACCTTTTCTCCTTTAACTTTGGGTGTCAGGTATTTTGTCTCAGCAACAAGAAAAGTAACTAAAGGGGAGCTAAATAAACCTTTCCTCTCTTTACTTTGGGTGTCAGGTATTTTGTCTCAGCAACAAGAAAAGTAACTAAGACACAGGGCATGGTGGCTTGGTACTGGGAAGCTAGGGTAAGAGGATCACAAGTTCAAGCCCAGCCTGGGCAATTTAGTGACTTAGCAATACCCTGTCTCAAAATGAAAAAGGCTTGGGAATATAGTTCAATGTGAAGGCCTTTATATTGAATATTTAACTTTTTTCTTTTTTGGTGGTACTGGGGATTGAATCCAGGGCCTTTATACTGAACTTCATTTCCAGCCCTTTTTAATTTTTATTTTGAGACAGTGCCTTGCTAAATTGTTTAGGTTGGGCTCAAAGTTGCTATCAGCCTCCCGGAGTGCTGGGACTACAGATATATTAACTTTTTATTTGATTTATTGTTTTTGTTTTTGAGACAGAGTCTGATATGTAGACTGGCCTTGGACTCCCCAGGCCCAGGCTGGCCTAGAACTCACAATTCTACCACAACCTCCAAGTGCTAGGATTGCAGGTGTGTGCCACCATTTCTAGCTTGTGTGTTAATTTTTAGCTCTGGATTCTTATGATGCACAGAGTAAAACATTAAACCATTTAGCAGGTGAGAACTTTTCATTTTCTTTGGTAAAAAGTTTATACACTGGAATTTGCTAAAATGTACATCTGTACTCTCTGAATGTACATCTGAATATGCACGTAGTGAGCAAAGTCTAGTTTGTATTTGGACAAGATAACAATCTTTTGTTTTATGCTTTCTGAGGTTTCATCAAAAAATCTTCATATAAATCAGAAGACAATTTGAAACTCCATTTTTCAAGTCAAAGCACTTAAGAGTTAAGAAGAACACTTTATTGCTGTGATTCAACACATCACTTGATATGCTGTAGAAAACAAGACTGTCGGTTAAGATCTGAGAGAATCAACTCTACAGTGTAAGGCACCAACACATCTGTTATCAAAATTTCTCTTATTCACCCACACAATATATTTTTTTCATTATCATGAGCCACCAGTCATGGACACCAATTCAGGATTCAGCAGAGGCAGACAACTGTCATATTTATTTACACTATGAACAGTATTGTCTTTAGTCTCTTTATTTGGACCACTATATGGTTTTATATTTTCCTCTTCTATACTCAGTGCTGGAAACCAGGACTTTTTTGTACCAAGGAGGGGTTTTCTGGACTATGGAGCTTTCTGGGATGCCCCAGAATAAAAAATAAAGTGCTTTACTCTTCCATTTTCATAGTTGAGAGGCTGTCTAGTATTTTCAGATCTGCTTTTTGACTAAAACAAATTATATTTAGCTAATCTTTCTTAGAAGTGTAGTCTGAGGTAAAGCAAATAAAAATGGCTAATCATATCTTTTTGGCAGTAGTCCTAAATGGTTTGTTTCTCTAGATATACCTGGAATACTTACCTCAAACTTTGCACCATTGCTTGGAATGGCCATTCCATGCCTTGTTTCTTTAGCTATAGGAACAGTTCTGAGACTAACAGACAAGTCAAGGTTGGTTGTTCCTAAAGCATTTGCTGCATTGTCTTTTGCTATTTCTAATAGCTTCACTGTATCTACAAAAAAGATAAGCACATTCATTAATTTTATAGCATATTCCCAAAGACTAAGAATGACAAATCAAGCATGTACTTTATTACAATAGCAATATAAAGATTCCCACTCATGTATATAAAATACTTGACAATCATGTTAAGGCCAGCAAAGGTTAAAAAAAAAAAAGGGTCAGAGGAGATACAAAGAGAAAAAGTTAATACCTTTCTCCAACAGTCATTAGCTTATTAGAAGTTTTAGTCAAGGCTTGATTTAATGCTGCTAAGAGATGGTAAACTAATGTTAGTCATCAGTAGACATTTAAAAAGTTTCACTAAGAACTGCCTAAGGACTGGGGATGTTGGTCAGTGGTAGAGCAATGCTTGCCTAGCATTCACAAGGTCCAAGCACCACATGCACAACAAAACAAACAAGAAAAATTGCCTGCTGGGACTAGGTGTATACCTTAATGCCTAGTGCCTGCTTAACATGTAGGGGGGCTCTGAATTCCATCCCCAGCATACAAAAAAGAAAAGAAAAGAAAAAACTGCCTAGATTCCTCTGCCCTTACACATTAAACAGTCACCATTAACCTTTAATCCTGAGGGGTAAGAATACTATTTAAAAATAGGCTTTGGAGCTGGGGATGTAGTTCAGTGGTAGAGGACCTGCCTGCCACACTTGAGATCCTGGGTTCAATCCTCAGCACCACAAAAAAATAAAGGCTAGGGATTGTATTATATGGTTTTTACCAACTAATCAGCTAGTGCCCCCCCACCCCAAAGATACATAGATTTCATGTATTGAAGGAAACAACATAACCACCCTAGCCAACTCATAGACTTGTCTGAATATACATGTAAGTAACACGATCATACCTGCCTCTCAACGACAAGTGACCCACCTTTTTCACTGAAGGGAATAGGAGTTCTGCTCCAGGACATCATCCCAAATCCCTCCACCTGCAGTGTTCTAGGCACATATATTACAGTGTCAAAGCTATAGTAGCATCTCCCTGGAGTGACCACGTAAGCTCCTTACCTTCTCCCAGAGAGGGACCTGCTCCGGGGTCCGTCTGGAAAAGGAGCCAGTTCATACGTCTCAGACAGCAGCAGGCGCCTCTCCATACCGGGGACGGGGTATCTCGAAGTGTTCTGCGAGTGAGATCCCGAGCAGCACCTGCACTTCCTCGGTGGTGCCTTCAAGCTGCGCCTTCTGAGCCGGCTCCGCCTCCTAGACACCAATTATTTAGAAACGCGGGACCAAAAAGATAGTTTCTGTAAAAAGGGCGTCGTGGCCAGTAGTCCCTCAAGGAGCTAAGACATCACTGCTGATCCTCTCGTTTCCAAAGGGTCACTTCCCGAAAACCCAGGATATCCTCTAAACAGTGGCCTCTTCAACTGGGCGATTTTCCCCGGGAGGGCATAATTTGACAAAACCTGGAAACATTTTTGGTTGTCAAAACTCGGGGAGCTGCTTTGTATCGAGTGGGTAGAAGACAGGTGCAGATAAACATCCTGCCCATATATAGGACAGCTCTCATAAACAGAACCAACCAGCCCCCAAAGTCAGTAGTGCAGAGCATGAGAAACCCCTCTCATACAACAGCGAAGAAAAGTCAAGGCCTGGAAGAAAGTCACCGCGCGGGTTCTGGGCCCCCTGTACCCTCACACAGAACCAGGAAGCCCCGGCTCCGGGCCTGAGCGACCCCTGTCTGGGAGGCGCAGCTGCAATGCTCCTAGAAAAAAGATTACTTAAAAACCCTGAATACGCGGTGCCGCGAGGCTGCACGCTCGGAGCCAATTTTTGCACCACGCAGGACCAGGCTCTACCTGCCACTCACAGCTGAGGATAGCTACGAGATCAAATCCAGCACTAGAAAACTCGCCACTTCACCCAAAACAGATTCTGAGAGCCGACGGACCTCTGTTTCGAGAGCTTAGGAAAAACCTACTCCTCTTATCTACCCTTACAAAGCGTGCGCACTAGCACTTCCCACCTCCAGAGTCTCAGGTGGGAAATAGCTACGCCCTCCAGGGCATGCGCAGACTCCTCCACGCAGTGGGCGTAGCTGGCCTCCGCCCCAACCCGTTTCTTTTCCCACGCCCCGCCCTCCGCCCAGTCTCCGCATGCGCAACTGGCCCAGGGGCGGAGCTGCTACATCCGGGGTCTGGCAGCTTGCGGTTGTTTTGTTTTCTAGGCTGAGTTCAGCGGCTAGTGAGGCGACCCCGCGCGGCGCAGCACCGGCTACCGGAGCTACTGCACCGTCAGGGCTGGACGTAAGTACTGGGTGAATAAGGGTGAGGGGGGGTGGCTGCAGGTTGAACCGGGCGCGGACCCCGGCTGATGCCTACTGGTCTTTGCCTCCACCCTGTGGGAAGCTGCGCCTCGCTGGACCATCCCGGCCACTTCCTGCTGTCTTGTGACCGGCGGCAGGCAGAGCGCGACCGCGGCCAGACCCATCAGGCTCGGGTGGGAGGGAGGGAGATCGGGAGGGGACTGCAGCCCTGCCTGGGACATTACAGTGTCCCTGAAAGTCATCTTGTCCCTCTGCTTTGGAGCTGGGCACAGACCCCAAGAGCGACTGTAACTGGCTGGTTCCGCCTCGAGAGAGGTGGCGGAACTAGAACTAGTTTCCAGATCTTCAAGTCCCCAGCCCACTCTCTGGACCTGCCATTCTCAGAGTCTGGAGGGCGGAGTTTGGGTTCAAGTGTGTCAGTAGACATGCAAAGAAAAATGGATTCAAGGTGAGGTCATTGTTGTAAACCGAAAATAAAAACATAATAGGTTGCTGTTCTTAGGGAAGAACGAAATGAGTGAATTTTCAGAATTGAACTCATCCCAAAGGCATATTAGCACTGGTTATAATCATAGCTTTTAATATTTAATTTTCGAAACGGAAGGTAAAAAATTGAAGTCGTTGCACTTTTAGGGTATTATGGTTCTGGATAGTCGTCGCTGCTGGCTACAAGAGTAGCTGTGGGAGTTTGGGTGTTTCTTGACTATTATTAGCAAGTTATACGTAATTCAGGTTTTTTTCATACTCTGAAATAGAGATAATATGGATGTGTCTCAGGCCAGATCTGCACAACGAGCTTGTAGGAGTGTTTTATGTAATTTGTTAAGACAATTTAGGCCAGTTATGGTAATTTAAGTAGCAATGAGTTATTTATTTATTTTTGGTCTACGCTTTTGCGGAGATAAAATAAAATGGATGTTTACATAGAAATGATACCAAAGACAGACTTGAAGAAGGAACAACTAACGAGGTGAAAGGAAATGATGTTGGTAGAGGTAAAACCTGCAATGCAGTGTTCTTAATCTGGATGGGAAAAAACACAGGTTCTGTGAAAAAAATACATAAGTTCCCAAGAAAAATATTTTTCATTTGTGCTTTAACTCAGCCCAAGTGTGTCACCTCCTGACTGTATTAGTGCTCCGAGACTATAATATGAAAATTAAATGATTATACTTGGTTATTTAAGGGATCACTTAATTTGGTAATGTATTTGGAAATTATAGGATCTGACAGTTTTCAGGAGGAGGTCAATCAATAGTTAAAAGTTTTTCAGTATTTGGATACCCACCTTTGTTCATATTACTTAAATATACCTTTATCCATACTGCTTAAATATACAAAACTATCTTTTAAATTAAAAAAAAACAAGCTAAAACAATGCCAGGCATGGTGCATGCCTATAATCCCAGCACTCAGGAGGCTGAGGCAGGAGAATGGATGTGAATTTGAGACCAGCCTGGGCTACATAGTGAGTTCAAGGCCAGCTTGAACTAAATAGTGAGACCCCGTCTCAAAAAAAAAGGCTAGGACAGGGGGCCGGGGATTTAGCTCAGTGGTTCTGTCGCCTGCCTCACAAGCACAAGGTCCCGAGTTTGATCCCTGGTACCAAAAAAAAAAAAAGTATATATATATACATATATACACATATATATGTATATATATGTATATATATATAAAATTTTAAAAAGCTAGGAAAAACTCACACCTAGCTACATATCCAAATTTTGTTCTCCAAAATTATAATGTGACAACTCATCAAAAGCTAAATCAAATAGTCAAGAAGTATGTGGCTAAAATAAAGCATTTGTAACTTCTATTAAATTATTCCTGAACTGTTAACTGTTTTCCAGGGACATAAGTCAGGTGAGAAACAAGTAAATGAAAGTACTTCATTTAGGTATTTATTTTGTTTTGCTTTGTTTTGTTTTGAAGTGACTTAACATGTCTGGATTTCTGGAAGGTATGAGATGCTCAGAATGCATTGACTGGGGGGAAAAGCGCAATACTATTGCTTCTATCGCTGCTGGTGTCCTGGTAAGCTTTTGGGCCTTGATTGTTTTAGTGTATTTCTGTTACATGTTTTGAATTCTGGTGATGTTTTAAAATTGTACTTTTATTTTAATCTTTGACCACTGAGTTTAGTTTAATAAATGATGTTTTGTTTTATATATATATGCTAATAGTTTGACATTTGATTAGCAGATTGGGCTATTTTAACTGCATTGTAAAAATGACATAATAAAACATTGTATATTATATGTTTATTCATTGTATGGATTATGCTTTCTCTTAATAAATACAATAAGATACAAGGAAGTATCAGAGAAGCAATCAGGTGAAAACCAGTCAAGAGATTCGATTGTTTCTCCCTAACCCAGAGTTAACTTTCTTTTCAATCTCATAAGAAAAATAACAGGAAACTCATTAAAATTGTATATATATTTTTTGGGGGGGATGGGGGGAGACAGGATTTTTCTATGTAGTTCAGGCTGGCCTTGAACTCATGGTGATTCTCCTGCTTCAACCTCCCAAATGCTGAAATTACAGGTGTGCGCCCCACACCCAGGTCCAGAATAAAATTCTTATTTACCTTGCAGAGTCCTCAAGGGATCTGATATTTGTGTTTTATTGCTTTATATTGTTTTTCTTGTGGTTTTTGTTTCTGTTTTTTGTTTTTTGTTTTTTGGTACTGGTAATCGAACCCAGGACCTCGTGCTTGGGAGGCAGGCACAATGCCACTGAGCTAAATCCCTGGCCCTATTTTTGTTTTTTGTTTGTTTGTTTTACAGTACTGGAGATTGAACCTTTCCACTGAGCTATCCTTGCCCTTTTTTTATTTTTAATTTTGAGAGAATCTCACTGAGTTGCCTATGATCGTCTTGAACTTGTGATCCTCCTGCCTCAGCTTCCCAGTGCTGGGTTTACAAGCATGCAACAGCACAGCCAGCTTGACATTTGTCTCTTATGATCTTAGAGTGCCATATGCTCTAAAGAATAAATTAACTAACTAACTTGGTACTTTTGGTATCAAGAATTGAACCCAGGGGGGCTGGGGATTTAGCTCGGTGGTTCCAGTGCCTGCCTCACAAGCGCAAGGTCCTGAGTTGGATGTCCGGTACCAAAAAAAAAGCAGAAAAAAAAAGAATTGAACCCAGGGCCTCATACACACTGTACCACTCACCTTCATTCCCATCCCCGAAAAAGTAAATTTTAAGTAAACAAATTAATACAAATCTAAGTTTAAATATCTCTTCTTTGCCTTTTATTTTCTGTGAAAGTGATTATAGTTTTCCAAAGTAATAGCAACATTTAATGCCACTGTACAAATTCTGCTCTTATATTTTTTAAGACTGTAACTTTTTGCCTATGAAGAAAATATCTTGACTACATTGAACTGAGAGTAAAAAATAAAATGAGCCATTACTCATATAAGCCAGTTAAATGTCAGTAGTATATGGCCCTGTCTATAACCCAATGAAACTAATTTGATTAGCCTAAAATAGCTATTGTAAAATAATTGCCAGAAAATGGCAGTTTCCAGAGCTAACTTGGTCAGGGCTGGGAGTAGGATTGGGAAAGAGGGTTGCTCACCTTCTAAACTAACGTGTCAGATTTTGATAGTATCATTTCATTGTAAGTTTTTGCTCGGATGATAAATATTTGTGTGGTTTTGTTTTTTTCATTATAGATTCACTCTTGATAATCCAGAACCAAATTCAATTAAATAAATTACAATCTCGTGTTCAAATTGAATTTAAAATCACACCTAATGCAATCTAAAGACTACAGTGTGCCAGCTGTGGTGGCACATGCCTGTAATCATAGCACTGAGGATTGCCACAAGTTCAAGGCCAACCTGGACTACATACTTAGTTCTGAACTACATAGCGAGACCCTGTCTCAAAAATATAACAACCCCCCCCCCAAAAAACAAAAAGACTGCACTGTAATTCATCAAAAGTAAAAAGCAGAAATGTAGAGCTGTTATTTCACAACATCAAGAGAATTGTTCCGCTTTTTGGTACCAGGGATCGAATTTAGGACCTTGGGCTTTCAAGGCAGGAGGCGGAACCACTGAGCTAAATCTCTGGCCCCTGGCATTTTAATTTAAATACTTTTTCTTCATTTTTAGTAATGTCTTTCTAGAGGCTGCTACTATATCAGCAATAGGGTATTTCTTCTGTAGGTTGCAATTTGAGTCATCTTTTCCTGACTCCATATTTCTAGTTCACAAAATTAGATTGCAGAATTTATTATGGCAATATGAAATAAGAGTTGAAGTAGGCTTATGGTATCTAATATTTAATCAGCTTTTTAGGCATGTGTAAATTATATGCAATTGTGTTACATTTAAGGAAATTTTGACATTCATTAGAAGGAGAGTCTTAGACACCTTGCCCTTTTTTTCAGCTAATGAGACATGATATTGCTATAATTTCACATTGGTATTGCCTCTTTTTGTTTTAGTTTTTCACAGGCTGGTGGATTATTATAGATGCAGCTGTTAATTACCCCTCTATGGAAGAGTTCAACCACTCATACCATGCCTGTGGTGTTATAGCAACCATAGCCTTCCTAATGTAAGTGTCATTGTTACTGACACCATCTACACAGACGGTCACAAACTGACATTATTTTATCTATAGTTGCAAGATTTAAAATGTTTAAATGTTATCAAATTGGATATGATTTAAAAATTGAATAGTAGGGAAGAACGTACAGAAAAGTAACAGTCCTCTCCTGGTCTTCCTTTCGCCTCTCCTCTCCCACATCTGTCTCCAGTCCAGGAGATCTCCTCAATTTCATCTTCTAGCCTGTTGAATGTTTTCATTTCTAGCCTCATGTTTTAATTTCCAAGGGCAGGTTCTCGTTTCAAGTGTCATTATGTTTCCTTAATTATGAATGCTTCCTTTAGGGGCCTTTGTGGTATGTTCAACTAGGCCTTTCTTTGACGTGCTGCAAGCCTTTCTTCAGATACATGGTGACTCTTGGTTACCCATTATTATTTAGAAAAAAGTCAAAGAGAAGTTGAGTCAAAGCTGTGATCCTGGGTCAGAGCTTCTACATAGGATAAGTAGCAGGGAGTTAAAGAGGACTTTTCCTTGGCATCATTCTCACTAGTTGCTGCAATTCTTTCCAGATAGTTCTTTCAATTACTTAAGAGAAAACTCCTTTTTTCCCCTTGCTTAAAGGGGGCCAATAGTCACCCAGGGTGCTCTAGGCCATATGAGGTTACCAAGCTATAGCCAGGCCTGTTTTACAAATCAGGTGTCGGAACAGTCACGCCCATGCCACTACTTAGGCTCTGTGGCTGCTTACTTGTGATGGTTTGATGGAGACAGTGTGGCCCACAGATCTGAGATACTTATTGTCTGATCTTTAAGGAAAGTTTGCAGACTTCCAAGAGGTTGGAGAAATGAGGTGGGAATTCCTTCTTCCATCTCCGGACCTTGGGTTAATCCTTGTGTTCTCAGCTCCATTCCTCACTCCACACCCAGCACACCTTCATTCCTGTCTGTCATGTGTCCTGTCCCCACTTCTGTTAGAAGGATGCCTCCGTGCTGTGCTGTACCCCTCTCCATGCTGTATTATAAGTACAGGCCCCTTTTTGTTTGAAATTTCATCTGCTGAGGAAATCAACCTTTCTGATGTTATATTTTTTTCCTTTTATTCTCATTTTGAATGGGCTTTTTTTCTCTTTTTTTGCAGTACCAGGGACCAAACTCAGGACCTTGTTCTTGTGAGCCACGTGCGGCACCACTGAGCTAAATCCCCGGCCCTGAATGGGCTTTTGGGCAGGAGAGGAAGGGAAGTCATTTTTCTGACATTGTTAAACAGAACCTCTGAATAATTTATTTCCCTCTGTCATTTTCAAATTCAGTATCAATATATTCAGGAAGGTACTCATAGTGCACAAATCATATGTATGTGTGTATCTCAATCAATTCTTATTTATGTACACACCTATATAAATACTGCCCAGATCAAGATTTAAGACATTCCCATCACCACAAAGTGCTCTTTCTTGCTCCTTCTCAGTTAGTCCTCTCTGCCTGAACATAACGGCTATTAGTCAGCTTTCTGCAGATGTTTGACGGTAACATTTTGGAGTCATTTCTTCCAGGCTTTCACCAAACCAGGTCAAAAATTTTTACATTTTTAAACTTTGCTACACTTGTGAAATAAGTATGAACAAAATAGCTCAGTGGTTCTGCTGCCTGCCTCACAAGTGCAAGATCCCGAGTTTGAAAAAAAAAACAACTTATTTTTCTAAGCACGTGGCCTGTGACTGACTGGAGCAAACTCCGTGACAGAGTGCTCATTCCTGCTTGAAGTAGAGGTCTGACTTCAGAAGCCACCTGCTGGTAAAGGGCTATAGTCTTTTTCTTTGACGTTCAGATAGAAAGCAGGCATTTCTCATTCTTGCCATTTTGAGGCAATTTACTTTATTGAAATAATTACGCTGGTAGAATCTTTTTCAAAAGACGACACACACATTTCAGCATTGGTTCTGATTTAGAAGATTTACTTTTGTGGTATTATTTATTTGTCCTACTTTTGTTCTTAGTTTATTTTTTTGCTTTGTTTTAGTACTTAAAATTTTTAAATTAACATAATAATTGCACATATTTATGAGGTACATTGTCATCTTTCAGTACATATATACAGTGACCACATTTGGGATATTCATCATTTGAAGCAGTTATCATTTCTTTGTGATCATTCAAATTTCTTTCTACTAGCCATTTTGAAATATGCAATTAGTTGTTGTCACTCATAATTACCCTGTTCTGTAGAACATCAGAAGTAATTCTTGCCAGGGATTTAGCTCAGTGGTACCGCCACCTGCCTTGCAAGCACAAGGACCCGAGTTCGATCCCTGGTACCAAAAAAAAAAAAGGAGAAGTAATTCTTCCTAGTTGCGAGGCTGAAGCAGGAGGATCACTGCAAGTGTGAGACCTGTATTCCCAGAACTCTGGGAGGCTGAGGCAAGAGAATCTCAAGTTCCAGCTCAGCCTGGATAACTTAATGACTTATTAAGACTTTGTCTCAAAGTTAATAAATAAAAAAGGCCTGAGGGTGCAGCTCAGTGTGAAGACCCTGGGTTCAATCCTTGTTACCACAATAAAAAAGAAAGCAAGGCCATTTAGAGTGATACTCTGTGAAAGTCTGTGAAATGTTTCCTATATTTAGAACATGTATCAAGGATTGAAAAAGCAAAATTTTACCACCTGAAACTCTTTGATCTTCCCTGGTTAAAAGTTACTGTTATTTTGGAATATGATTATTGTTTCAAACATTAGACATTAATACAAAGTTATTATAAAGAATCATTGCATAGCCATGTTAAGTAATTTTGGTTTGACTGAGGCCCATTGCCTCTCTGCCATTGCCATCCATGGCTCTGACTTGAGAATGTCTAATGTGTGCAAATGGAAAACTTTAGCAAGATAAAGTTTTGAGAATTTCATGCTTAAATTTTAACAAGCAACGGAATCACCTGAAAGACTTTAGAATGTGGATTTCTGGCCTCCAAGACCAAATGTTCCACTTGGCTAGGTTTGGGGTGAGATCAGAGCATTTTCAAACAAATTGTCAAGTTACACTGAGGCTGCCAGGCCCACAGCCACAGCTTGAGAAAGTGCTAGTTGAAGGATTTCCTTAAGGTCATGTGAGCCCATTACCCAAGAGTCATGAGGCCTAGCCTTGGGTTTGGGAACTCTAGCTTGTTATATCTGATGCTCTGATGTCACAGATGATTTCTTCTTGGAGTTAGAGACCCTAATTCTTGATTTTATTCACACAGGATTAATGCAGTATCAAATGGACAAGTCCGGGGTGATAGTTACAGTGAAGGTTGTCTGGGTCAAACAGGTAAATAAATGCAAATAACATCTTACTCTCAGTGTTTTTGTCCTTAAAAGGAGAATTTCGTATGAAAAGGCACTTGTCTTAGCTTCTTCAGATCAGACATGGGATGGAGTGGTATCGAGCAGAGATTATAGGTTCCAAGGCAGAAAGTCAGAGTCATATATTGTCACCGGGCGTGGGGGCGCATGCCTGTAATCCTAGCACTTGGGTGGTTGAGGCAGGAGGATTGCCGAGTGAGTGTTGGAGGCCAGCCTGGGCTACATAGTAAGTTCAAGGCCAGCCTGAACTACATAGCAAGACCCTATCTCAACCCGCCCCCCACCCCCCCGCCGCCGTTAAAAGATCCTTAACACATTTTCTTCTACTGTTCTTATTTTATTTTTTTTGGTTTTTTTGGTACCAGGGATCGAACTTGGGTCCTTGCGCTTGCGCAGCAGGCGGCGAAACCACTGAGCTTAATCCCCAGCCCTACTCTTCTTATTTTAGACCTCAGTTTTTTCTGTTTGAAAAGTTAATTGAACTGAGTGCTGCCACATGAGAAGTAATTCTGGTACAATGTTATTTCTTTTAAGGTGCTCGCATTTGGCTGTTTATCGGTTTCATGCTGGCCTTTGGATCTCTGATCGCATCCATGTGGATTCTCTTTGGAGGTTATGTTGCTAAGGGTAAGAGAAAATAAACCAGTTATGGTTTATTGCCATGGAATACTTACATTTCGCATTAAAGTTGATTTTTTTTTTTCTGGTACCAGTAATCGAACTTGGGACCTTTTGCTTGCCAGGCAGGCACGACACCACTGAGCTACATCCCCGGCCCAAAGTTGGTTATTTTAGAATAAAGCTTTTCTCATATAGATGGGCCTACTACTACTAACAATACATTTGTCTATGGGGACTCCCTCCCCCTATCTGTGTTTGGTTTGGTTTTGTATGTTTTTAGGATTCCTTTCTTCTGTATTTTTTCTTTTAATCTAGAATATTGAAGGAATGGAACACAGCTCCAAACTTTCCTTCTCTTTGGCCTCTAAAAATCTTCAAAGCTTACCCTGCTTTAACTTTCAGAATAGTATCCATGGGACATTCTAACATCCTAGAATTGAAATACATTCAGTTGAGCCTCCTTGGCAATATGCTGTCATCACATTTTAGGTAGAAAAATACTTGCTCTTTATTCCCCCCTTTAATATTACAGTTACATTTAGTTAAATTATATCAGTAGTAGTGCACCTATGGCACGAGTGCCACAGCGGGCACACAGAGCCTTCTCTGTCAGCGTGGGAACCAAGTGTATGAGTTGTTTTTTCTAAACTAAAACCTCAGTATTCAGGTATAAGTGCAGTGTCAGCACTTTGTGATAAATAAGTGGGTTTTGGGTTGCAGTTTGGACACTCAGTCCCTAAAAGGTTCACCACCACTGGGTTATATTACCTGTAAATTTCACTTCAAGATAGTAAAGAGAGGAGTTACAATATTTGCCAAAAAGAGCACTGGATCACACAAAGAATAGACCATGTGAGAGCTGAACTCAGAAAGAAGCCTTGATCCAATCTTATATCAACCCAAACCAGAGAGCTGTGCACCTACCTATAAGAGCTCTGTGCCTTGGACTAGCGGTCACTGTGTTGGCTTCTGTAGCCCAGCCTACGGCATTGTGTGTCAGTGTCAGAATTGGGGTGAGATCATTTACATAGTTGCATTGATATAGTATTATGGCCATTCTAGTTGCAATGTTTATTTAATGTGGAATAGTAGTGGAGGCCTAGATAAACCAGCTGTTATGTTACTCGGATAAATTTATAACTATTTTAAGATGAGAAAAAGTTGACAGTCCATCTGTTATTGGGCCTTGGTTTGTCATCTCGTGAGTACTCACTAGAGTGAGTAGAAGCTGATGAGAATTTCATCTTCAGTCTTAGCCTTTCCCATCTGAGTCGAAGTCTGTGCTGTCCTTCCAGGTGTGTAGGCCACAAACCCCGGGCAGTTGAGGCCTGTCAAAGACAGTGACCCTCCTACTTCCACCCCATATCCAGTTCATTAGCAAACCCTGCTGACTCCACTGTACAAGGAATCCTAGCTCTAACCACTTTTTACCATCTCCATTGCTGCTACCTTGGTGGATTCTATCACAGTTGTTTACCTGATTTCCTGAGAGAACCTTGCAGTGGGTTTCCATCTTCCCCCTTAACCAACGCTTTACTCTCAGCACCACAACTAGAGAGATCTGTTAAAATATGCCAGCTCAAGTCACTTTTCTGTTCAGAACTTTTCAGTGTCTTCTCATCTCACTAGAGTAAAGTCAGGGTCCTTGTTATACTTCTCTATTCCATCACCTCCTTTTCCTCCTTTCCTCCATGGGACCAGCCCTCTACTATATTCCCACAGTCCCACCTCAGAGCCTTTGCACCTGGTGTCCCGCTGCTTCTGCATGGTCCTTGTCCTCATGTCCTCTGTGCCCTACTCCAGGGTTGGCTTCTCATGAGGTCTTCTCGGCCCCCTGTGTCAAACATCATCATTTGCTACACATCCTATGCCATCCTGCTTTATTTTCTCTCCTTGTTGATTTTTCATATCGTCTAGCTCCATGAAAGCAAAACAGTTTGTTTTGTTTACCTCTGTATTCACAGCACATTACACAGCATTAGCACACAGTGTGCCTTTAACAAATACTTGCTCAGTGAGGAAAGGGACCTGGCACTAAACCAGTGCTGGATTCTGTAATACATAATTTCATTTAGTACTCACTCCAGCCATAGTTCCCAGAGACATCAGTTATGCTAAATAGGAAAAATGATATTTGCCAGTATGTATGAAATAAAATGTTTTGATATCATAAACATTAAATATTATCATTGTTTTTGTAGAAAAACTCATAGTATATCCTGGAATTGCTGTATTTTTCCAGAATGCCTTCATATTTTTTGGGTAAGTTTGTTTTGCATTCTTCATCTTATTTATTTTTAATAATAGTTTCTTTTATGTCATTTACTATATTTAGTTGCTTAATTTACCCCTCCCCCATGGCATTTTCATAGCATATGAAGACTAAGATTGAGTATATTTTTAATACATGGGCTAGTTTGTTGTCAACTTTGGGAACATACATTAATTTTTAAAATTGCCATTCCACCCTCTAATGAATAACTATGATGCATACAGATCTCATTTCATAACACTGACAATGTTCATTTTAAATGTATATCTCTAGCAGTTGCTTTTTTTTTTTGGTATCGGGCATCGAACTCAGGTCCTTGCACTTGCGAGGCAGGTGGCAGAACCACTGAGCTAAATGCCCGGCCCAGCAGTTGCTTTTAATGAAAAAAAAAAATCTTAAAATTGTTTTTCTTTAAATTTAATTCTTTTTTCCTTTGATGTCATTAAAATATATGAGAGTGATTTGAGTTGTGGAGGAAAGGCCCTATCAGATTTTATCCTTTTGATACAGTTGCAAATGAAAAGATTACTACAGCCCCTAAAAAGCCAAATACTTTTATCAATAATCTTGTTTGATGTTCATTCTTTCCGGAAATTGAGGGCCTGTCCTTTCCCCTATTCCTGCAACCCAGTCCCAGCCACTTCTCCTTGTCTTCAGCATCGGTTCTCATGGTGACACTGTAGGTGCTTCTGACAGTGAGAATCACCAGATGTTTCAAAGTACAAGGTGGTGTGCTTGTTTCTGAGAAGAGTCTCTGGCTAGTGTTAAAGAAGGCCCTGATCCAAAAACAACTAGGAAGTTGCTGTGTGTTATGGAAATTTTCCTTCCCTGTCTCTTCCTACCTCCAAAGAAAAAAGAAAAGCCCCAAATTTACTTGAACCACTCTTGAAAAACAAATAGTTGCTTATGGTAATAATAACAGTTAATACTCACTTAATTTAACTTCACCACCAGGCATTTTTACCATTTTATAAAATCAGTTTAGAAACAAGAAAAAAGTAAATTAAGAAGTGGCAAAATACACATCTCTGGATTATATCTTGTGTCCTGAAACTGGTGGAAAACCTGGAAAGCCATTCACTTTTATACATAAAATATTAGTAACCAGCCAGGCATGGTGGCACCAGCCTATAATCCCAGCACTCTGGGTGACAGGAGGATCTCAAATTCAAGCCCAACCTGAGGAGTTTAGCAATTTAGGAAGATGCTATCGCAAACCAAAGTTTATTGAGCAATTACTATGCACTAGGCACCATTCTTAGTGCTTTATTTACATGTACACTCTTAAGCCCCATAACCATGCTGAAGATAGTTCCGTTATTGCCCATTTTATGTGTGCAAGCAGGCCCAGAGAAGTTAGGTCAACTCCTTGAGACTATGAGGTTCACATTTAGATCCAGGTAGACTCCATAGTGCATGCTCTAGCTACTAGACTTGATCTCAGCCAAAAGGCCGAGAAGCAATGGGCTCTAGCTACTAGAATGTTGAAATTTGAGATTAATTCATTTGGCATTTTTCTCCATTCGTTGAGTCTTCAACCAGTTGCTTAGTGCTAGTCTTTTCCTCCCCATCCTTTTCCCTTAACTGTAACACGTAATTGAAAAACATAAAATCAATAAACCTCCCCCACTTTCCAAATTAAATTTGAGTAGAGTAATACGGCCTGGGTTATGAGAAGGTGCATGTTGATGTTTAGGGTTTTTCCTTTCAAGTTGCAATGCTGAGATTTGTGCTTTACAGAAGGACCAGTTTTCTTAGTTCAAATATCTCCACGGGGTCAGGGGTGTTCTGGGGGATTCACCACCCTCAGTGACAAACAGAGGAAGGTGATGTCACAGGTCAGAGAGAAGCTTCAGGATTCAAGAGGGGCAGGAACTTAACTGGGAGCTGGCCAGCAGGGGCAAACAGCTGCTTTCTATATCTTAATCCGTATCTACTCCAGCAAGGCTAAAGTAAATTCCACTTTAGGATGTTGCTTTTGGTAGAAAAGTTAATATGTCACCGCAGGAGAAGCAAAGGAATGAAAGACAAAATTTCAGTGGAGATTTACGTCTTCCAACAAGGGGAGAAACATGTAAGTTCATACATACATTAGTTATCACGTTTCAGAAAGCCTTGGAAACTGATCATTGACTTGTCATTGTCCCACAATAGTTAAAATAAATTGCTTTCATATGCAGCAAGTTTGGTTAACTTTTCATTTGTTATCATCATTCTACTTAAAAATAAATTAGATTAAATTCAGCAAATAGACACTGTTATCAGAACAGTTGTAGCAGATTGCCTAGCATTCTGACTTAGAACAGTACTTAGCAAAATTACAGATTATTTCAGAAATTGTTTCAGAAGAGGCAGATGTCAGTACTGAAGGTGACCAGGGGACAATGTAGGAGGGACTGGTTCTTGCCCCAAGAAACTGCAGGTTACAGTCCACATGTGGGTATTTTGAAGTTACCTGTGTCTTTTAAGCTTCCTGGAGAGTGTAGGTCCCTAATAACCAACTTCGGTTTCTCTCTTTATAGTACTAGGTCTGATACTAAGTAGAAGAGCAGAGATCAGATCCGCTTTTGGAGATTTATTACATTTCTTAAAGAAATTAATACACTTCAAAGAAAAAGGATAAATGGCTTTCTGATTCCATTTTTGCTTTCATTTGTAGAAAAACACTTGAGTGTTTACCTTGATAAAGGCCTTAGAAAACCTGGGCATGGTGGTGCATGTTTGTAATCCCAGCACTTTTTATAGGAAAATCACAAATTCAAAACCCAGCCTGGCCAGCTTAAGTAATACCCTGGCTCAAATTTTAAAATACAAAAAAAAAAAAAAAAAAGCCAGGACTGTAGCTCAGTGTGAAGGCTCTGGGTTCAATCCCCAGTACTAGGACAGGTGGGGTTGAAAGCCTTAGAAACTATTTTAAACCTGTCGTTATCACCATGGACTTGCCCTTGATTTTATGCTGGTAATTGGAAAACAGGTGAAAAGACAAAGTAAAAGCAGCATATACCATTGAAATGTCTGTCACGGTTTCTCACTCACACTTAGTCACGTCCAAGTTCTGTTGAATCTGCCTCTTAATTAATTGTCTTAGATCTGTCTCTTTTGTCCATTTCCATTGTTTGTTTGGTCATCATCCATCTGTTGCTTACCTACAGTAGTTCTCACCCCTCTTACCCTGTTTTATTCCTAAAACAAAGCTCTGATCCTATCATTTCCCATCTTCATTTTTCCAGAACTCCAAGCTGTCTGAAGAAGAGATTAAAACAAATGGGTGTCCAGCCAAATTATCCCTATAGTTCTGTTTTTGTTTTTGGTTTTTTTCAGTACCAGGGATCAAACTCAGGACCTTGTGCTTTCGAGACAGGCACGGTGCCACTGAGCTAAATCCCTGGTCCACCTATAGTTCTGGTTTTTGTGTTTTGTTTTTTGTTTTGGTACCGGGGATCAAACTCAGGACCTTGCGCTTGTGAGGCGGGTGACAGAACCACTGAGCTAAATCACTGGCCCTATAGTTCTGTTTTATATAGACTAATTTTTTAAAAATTGAGCCAACACTTAAAAATCCTTAGAATTTTGGTTTTTCTTGAGAAACTAGATCTGCAACCATAGACCACAATGCTAGCAATCAACTAGAGTCATATAGTTGTTTCTTTTAAATAAGAGCTGTATCTCCACATAGCCCATTTCTTGCATTGCCTGGGATTAGCGACCAGTGGGGTGCTGAGAGAACCTGCAGGCTGGCCTCTGTACCCTTCACTGCCCTTATGCACCTGTGGGAATTGGCCTCCTTGGAGCCAGCTCTCGAAAGCCTGGCTACCTCAGTTCCCTGTCCTCCTTGTCACTTCAGCGCTGCTCCAGCCATGTGAGACTCTGCCCTGTTCTGCCACACCTCAGCTATCTTTTCTCTGCACACTACCGCCCTCCTCACTTCCTTAATTGAAAATTTGAGGACAGGTATACCACTCCCTCACCTAAACCCTAAATGTAAGCTGTGAGAGAGCATATTCCTGACTTACCAGTCAGCTGAGCTTTTCCTGGAGCCCTGAGGTGTTTTTTGTTTTTTGGGTTTTTTTCTTGTTTTGTTTTTTAAAGGAAGGGGGTGGATCTTGCTCTGGCCTCAAACTCCTAGGATCAAAGAATCCTACCTCAGTCTCTTGAGTAAGTAGTGGGAGCATAGGTCCCACAACCACAGCTAGCAAGACCCTTTTGGGGGGGCTGTACTGGGGACATGCTGGGCAGGTACTCTGTCACAGAGCTGCACCCCCAGCTCTGATCCTGTGGTTGTTTTATACCTCTTTGCCTTCTCAGATGTTGTTTCCTCTCCCTGAAACATTGTCTTTCATAAACCCACAAGCTCTTTTTCCTTCCAGTCTCCCAATCAGATTCCTGTTTATCCATCAAATCTCATCTCAGATATTACCCCCTCTGAAAATTCTTTTCTAACTTTTCAGACAGAACGAATTCTCTCTGCTCCCTTAGCATTTTGTATGTATGCCCCCCCCATGACACCATATTTTCCACATTGTGTTGTCAAATCTGAACAGCCTGAGGGCAAAGACTATGTGTCTTAGTTATCTTTATAGCCCTGACACCTGACATGAAAACAACTAGGGTTTGTGGATGGAGTTGGAGATGTGGGGGTGTACTTCAGTAATACAGCACTTACCTAGCAGCCATGTGACCGTGGGTTCTGTCCCCAGCACGTCCCCCAGAAAGGCTTGTTGAATGAATTTGACAAAGTCAGATGATTCATGGTCACACACTAAACATCGGTTAACTTGTCTAAAGTTGTGTGTCTCTTGTACTCAAGAGTTAAACTTTGGGGAAAATGGTGGTGAACAGCACAAGTGAAACCGTGGAAGAATGCACCTAGCTAGAATGGTCAGTTTCCATTTTGATACATTCCATATGTGTTGTATGCAGCTCATCAGTTACTCTTTGTTTCTTATTTCCTTCATCCTCAAAATCTCTTGTACTCTTCTCAAAGCCAGGCATTCATGTGATGTTTCTTGTTTTACCCACAGAGGACTGGTGTTTAAGTTTGGCCGCACTGAAGATTTGTGGCAATGAAAATAGACTTCGGCAGCCTGGCAGCCCTGCATGGGGCTTTTTACCGCTCACTCCCAGTCTTTTGTAATGCCATTTTCTAAACTTATTTCTGAGTGCAGTCTTAGCTTCAAGTTGTATAATGCTAAAATCATGAGAACTCCCTGTGTAAACAGCAACAAAATCTCTCGTGGTATGCACCTAATTAACTTATACACTGTTAAAGGAAACTTTCACATGAGTAACTTCTGTCAAGTTTTATCATGGTATAATTTGTAAAAATAAAAATAAATTACAGAAGAAATTATGAATTCATCAGTGTGTTTGGTCTGAGGTCCAAAACTGCAGTGAAAGTGATCTGAAGATTTAATGTGTTTATTTAAATGTGGCCTCTTCTTTGTCATATATTAAATGAAATTAAGTATTTTCTTGTTTTTATAAACTAGTCATTGGTCAGAATTGTTTCTCATTACATATTTATATTTGGTTTATATGTTTTTACCAAAAATTCTGTAAAAGTTTCAGCATATTAGCATGAGCATTTGAGGGTCTCCCAAAATGTGAGTGAACATGTCAGAAAAAAATCTGTGATTCAGCCACCAGGCTCCTGTGTCTCTTCTATGGGATATCTTCCATGTGCCACTGATTCAGGGGAGGGTGCTGTAACTCAGCCACCATACAGGTCCTGGTGGGACACTGCACTCAGATATGTTTGCCTGCACCTCGAAAACAAACCACAGGAGGCCATTTTTGGTGAAAAGGAGAAAGGATTTATCAAAACTACCTCTGAGGAGTTGGAGGGACCTCATGTTGCCACAAATCACCATCTCCCCATGTCCTGGTGTGCAAGGGGCTACTTTATAGTAAGAAAGGAAGGGGGAGGGAATACAGTGAGACAATGGGTAACTCAAGAATTGTGTAGTCCTTGGGCCAGGGATTTGGCTCAGTGGTTCCGCCACCTGCCTCACAAGTGCAAGGTCCCGAATTCGATCCCTGGTACCAAAAGAAAAAATTGCGTAGTCCTTCCTGGCCCTTTTCCTCTCTCTCCCATTCCTGTAGAAAGGAAATTAAACTTTGACTTCTTGGGACCAACATCTGTATCTTCTGTCCTTCATCTGGGGTTAGGACAGGAGGGGTTAGTTTCCGCTCTAGGCCTCAAGAAAGAATAACTTCTGATTTTTACAGTTCCATTTTGCCCTGTCAATTACCACTCGACATCCTAGTCTCTTATCCAGGTGACAAAATTTCTTTGTTGTTCTTATAATAAATTGGATTTTATGCTTTTCTAAAATCTGTGATCTGAACCACTAAGCTCTGTAGACCAGCAGGGTCTATTATAATTAACACACATTAGGTAGCAGGAACTCTCATAGTCTTTGCTCATTGGAACAATTCTCCCCCGAGGCTCCCAACCTCTGCAAAATAGGGTACACATTCTTCAGAATTCTGTTTTTCATAAAATGGGCTACAATTAGCCCCACGAACCACCAGCTGTATCTGATAGTTTCAGTGTGTGAGCTTTTCCACCAGAGCCACCGTTTGCTGTACTGTCGGTTTTGAATATTGCTGGCCATCAGGACAGTAAGCAAAGAAATGACTGTCCTGCTGTCATCACCCATGAAATTGCTCATGAATTTTTTTGCATAGATCTATAAAATGAAAATTGGAAGGAATCTTAGTAGTTGAGGTCCACCTTTTTATACATGAGATTATGTAAACCATGGAGACTTAAAATGATTTCTTCAAGGTCAGAACCAGTGTTGTAATCATTCTGAGGCCGTGGATCTCTGTCTCATAAGTGACCCCAAGCTCTTTCCCTGCAGTGGGACTCAGGGTATGCTCACGAAGTGCCAACTGTCTTAGAAAACTGCTAGAATAAAAGAATGTCTGCAAAAACTAGAAGTGAATTTTTGACTTTTTAAAATTTTGAATTAACTGCTGTGGCTGTAGGTAGGAGTTACCTCGATAATATACTTTATTAAGCATGAGAAAAAATCTGGCAGTTGGCACTAGAATTGAATCAAATCTGCAACCTAAAATATGGATAGCATTGTCTTTAATAAAACCAAACATTATTTAACATTATTAAATTGCCACTTAAATTGGTAATCTTTTTAAAATATCAAGTCCATCTGACTCTGTTTCTTTGTACATAGAGACTGCTATAATGAGTGTCATACAAACAGGCGGGCAGCGGGGAAAGGAAGTTGTGTTTCCAAGATCAGTAGCTTTGTTATTTTTGGATGCTTTTGCTTAAAATCCAACAGCCAAGTGAGGAAACTGTAAAAGCAAAGCAAACATGTTTAGTGCTGATACTGTTAAATTTTATATTTATACTCTTAAATTTTATACTCTTAAATTTTATATGCATACTGATTCTAGATCTCTTCAAACTTAATCATAACTATTATGGGAATGTGAAATGTTACTCAAAGAAAGGCTCATGTGTTGGAGGCTTGGTTCCCAATGCAGTAAGGTTCAGAGGTGGGACTTTTGGATGGTGATTGGATTTGAGGGTTCTAATGTCAGTGGATTAATCCATAATTTGATGGCATCATTAAAATGTGATAGAAATTTAGGAGATGGGACCTAGTTGAACAGACTGTGTCTTGCTCCTGGTCTTGTCTTTCTTTGTCTCTGCTCCCCTCCCTCATTCCTGGCTGCCATGAGGTGAGCAGCTTTCTTCTGCCAAAACTTTCTGCTGTGTTTTTGCCTCCCTATAACCCTAAAAACAATGGACCAGGGTGACCATGGACTGAAACCTCTGAAACTATGAGCCAAAATAAATTCTTTTTTTGAGTTGTTTTCTTGGGTATTTTGTCTCAGTGTTGGAAAGCTAGCTGATTAACACCTGAGAGTTTCTTTCATAAAATCAGAGTAAGATGAGATCTTAGATAGACCTTCATTTACCTCTTTACTTGAATCATTAATAATCATCTGACTTTTTAAATAACTCCAGTGATAGGGGACTTGCTACTATCAGATGAAGTAGCTCATTCTACTTTGCAAACAGTGCAAACTTTTAGAAATGTGTGGTGTGTTTCCCACCTGGCCTGCTGAAATTCTTTGGAGGAGCATAGGGAAACAAATGCTTTTCCTCTTCTATATTCCAATCTTTCAAATGTTTGGGGAGAGTTTTTAGGTCTCCTTTGGGTCTTCTCTTCTGTAGGCTGACTGTATCCTGAGTCCTTTTTGTGCCATACTACAGCCTGCCACTCAATATCGTTTCATGTTGAGTAACTTTGTGTAAGAGGTAGTTTAGCTATTTAGCTTATAAATAGGCAGCTTGCAAGGGACAGGGCCTAAGATGACATTGGGCTGGTCAGTCTTATAAAGAAAACAGCACATACACAGGGTTAAATGTTAACTCAAGCTATATAGATCACTTAGCTCAGGAATGTAAAAGCAAACACTGGAAAAGTGACTATTGTAACCCATCTCCACCTCCCTTATACTTTCTTCTACCTAATTACACAGCAAGATTCCTGACTGGCCAAAGAGTGCTTAATCAGTGAGTATATGGCTCTTGCATGCTCTGTTTCTCTGTAGGTCATATTACAGTATGGACAGTCCATACCCAAATTCTATAGGTTAAGCTCACCTTAACGTGTTATGGCCAGGGACCTGGCCACCTAAACATAAATGACATTAGACAAAGATCCCACTCTGACAACCCTTTTTGGGACCCCTCCCAACTACTGGGAGTTTTCTGTCTTATACTTCCAATAAACACTCCTTTTAACTACCTCCTTTGCTTGTGATTTAATTCTTTGACTTTGGAAGACATCATCCCAGTTTGGGCAGTAACACTTGGATTACAGAATCCTAGAGCTAGAAGTCATGGTAGCTAACACCTAGGGATGTCTTCTGTGGATCAGTCACTGCACCAGCACCTCACATATACTATCTCCTTTAAAAGCCCATGACCATCCAGTGAGAGAGTTGGCAGTATCTGCATTGTAGAAATGGGAAGGCTGGGACTCCACTATACAAGGTTACAGGTGGAAGTGGGAGACTGCAGATCTGACTAACTCCAGAGCACATGCTCGTAGAACTTAAGAGATCTCATTTTATAAATGAGGAAACCAAGCCTCAGAGATGTAAAGTACCCTGCCCAGGGTCTCCAGCCTACCACTGGGGGAGCTAGGACCAGAGTTCATGTTTCTTCCCAGAAGGCCCTTTCACTGAGCCTCTGAGACTTTAAGAGATCATTGGCAGTCTCTTAATATATTTTCCTACTTCAAAAAGCTGGCTTTACTCATTCTCGTTGAACAAGCATTTGCTAGAATTATCTTGTATGTTCAGAACATTTATTTAAAATCAGAAGCAGGGGTGATAACTGATGGGATGGCTAGGTTTTTAAAACTGCATAAAACAGCAAGAGGAATTCAACCCATTTTGTTGTATTTTTTGCCAAAATATTGGTAATACTTATATATATATATATTTTTTTTAAATTTTATTTATTTATTTACTTTTTTGTACCAGGGATTGAACTCAAGTCCTTGCACTTGCGAGGCAGGCAGCGGAACCACTGAGCTAAATCCTCTGCCCGGTGATGCTTCTATTTCTTGGCAATAAAATCATTTAAAAATAAACTGCAGGGGCTCAGGGTGTAGTTCAGTAGTAGAACACATGCTTAGCATGCATAAGGCCCTTGGGTTCAATCCCTATCACAGGGGTGGGGTGATGTTGAAGGATAACTGCAAATACTTATTCAGAAGCTAGTGGGTGATTTTCAACATAATGCAGTCATCTCAGAATCCTTCCTAATCTTCCTACCATTCAACCTAATGTGAAAACTTTCATTTTATTGCCTCATTTTCCCACTCAGAGCCCCCTATTTTGAGAAATTCTAGTTGCCTGTAGAATGAATGAATGTCAAGTGCCTCTAGCCACCTTTCAGCCTTCCCTGACATTCCTGATCCATGATCTCTCCCTCTTCTCTCTTCCAGCAGTTACTGCTGGATGATGTGGTCCTTCATAGTTAGAGTAGTGCACATATAAAGACCCAGCTCTCTCAACCAAGTCCTTAACCTCTTCACAGACCTCAAAACAGGGGCTTGTCCACAGTAAACTCATCTAAAAGATTCCTTGCTTGACTTCAGAAAGGCAAATGGGAAAAAATTTTAAAAAGGAGATGTCAGTGAATCTTTGTGCTTTGCAAAGCATGCAGTAAGGTATATGGTTTATTAAAGAACCAAAGGAAGCAGTTTATTCTCTTAGGAAAGGCACATGATACATGAAAAATTGTATTATAAAACTAAATTTCTATAAATTAGTGCCTGGGCAAGGATCATTTCAACTACAGGGAAACTGAAGATAGGTATATCTGGCTCCTTAACACTCAGAACTATGTTTTCTTTAGATTTGTCTCACGGTCCCTCACATAACTTTTGCAAGATTAGATCATTTGTGCAGTGAAATGAATTACTGCATTTTCATGAACCAGCCAAGAATGAGATGGGTGTCCTTGGAGAGGGCTGAGTGACCCTTCGCAGCAGTACCAGACACAGTCTGGGCCCCCAGAGAAGGAATGGATGAGTTGGTTTTGTTTTTATTTACATTATTGTTGTTGTTTTGGTCTGGGGATTGACCCTAGGGCCTCATGCAAGTGAAGCCCACGGTCTACAACTGAGCTACACCCCCAGCCCCTGAGCTAGCTTGAATGTCCCTTCCACCTCTTGTAGTCTAGTAGTGTTTAAAATGCCTTGTTGAATAGTTTTTTAAAAATTATCCCTGGAGGAAAAAAAAAATTATCCCTGGGTTTATCACCTTTGCAAATTTAAATCCTGGCCTCAGTAATGGATACTTGGCTTCCAAATGCAAGTTGAAAATGGTAGAATGCTGAATAAATGGTTCTACCCAACTGCCAGAAAATAAATCAGAAGATTGCCCAAGTGGTGGTGGTGGGGATAAAATTCTGTTCTCCAGTAGCTGCCCACAACACATTGATATGTGGTGTGTCTTTGGAGCCAGACAAACATCTGTTCAAATTCCTCCTGTTCCATCTACTGGCTCTGTCACTGGGGGCAAATTACTTCATCCCCATAGGCCTCAATCTCTTTATCTTTAAGATGGAGATACTTGTTCTCATACAAGATTATTGTGAGGATAAAATCAGATAATGTTGCAAAATCAGAAATAGTAAGCTTGCAAAAAAATAGTAGACTTGCAATATGATAGCTATTATGCTTACATATTCCTTCATGATTGGCTAAACCCCTAGTAATTAACTTTCACATTCACATGATGATTTGCATTTTTCTGAATATTGTTACAGACATTATTGCTTCATTTGATCTTCAAAAAACCCAGTAAGGGTTAAAGATTTTTTTTCTGGTACTGAGAATTGAATTCAGGATCTTTGTATTAAGCTACAATCTCAGTCCATTTTTTAATTTTTTGAGACAGGGTTTCACTAAGTAGCTAAGTTGCCAGGCTGGGCTCAAACTTGGGATCTTTCCACATCAGATTTCTATTATTTCACCAGTGGGAGTCAAAGCACTTGCTTACATGATACATTGTGGAATTGTGATTGGAATCAGGTCTTCTTCTATGTACAAACTTGTTCTATTTCACCTGCTGCTGAACTAGTGTTAGAGTGTCTCAGATTTCCTTTATTTATTCAGCAAATGTTTATTGCAACTTGAATACTTGAACTGGATATTTGTCCTGTTTGTGGTGTCCCTTGTTGGTTAGCATAGAGCTCAATAAATACACATGGAATGAATGAGTGGACTAAATCAACTCTGATTCCTCTCACTAGATTACCCCTGTGCTGCTAAAGGGAAGAGAAGCTGGTGCAAGTTGAGGCAGGCTACACATGACAACATGACTCTCAGAATAATTATGCTAAGTAGAAGCCAGACCCCCCTGCCAAAAACCCCAGATGTACTATATGGTTCCATTTATAAAGAATTATAAAAAAATGCAAGCCAATCTACAGTGACAGAAAGTAGTTCAGTGGTTGCCTGGGAATGGAACTAAAAAAGGGTATGGGAGAACAATTTCTGAAGGACAAAGGAATGTTTGGGGAGTGATTGATATGTTCCTTGTCTAGTATGTGGTGATGATCTCAGGGGTGTATGAATATGTTAATATATATCCAGTTGTATAATTTTAAGTATGTGTGACTCATTCATGTCAATTGTACCTCATAAAGCTGTTTGGAGAGGTAAAGGAAAAAGAAAAGAGAAGGAAATGGAGAAGAGACAGGTCATCTCTCCAGCATCCCTGATTGTTTCCTGCTGTCACATGTGCCCAGGCCCATAATAAGAGTCCCCCTCTGTTCCTTTTGTGTGTCTTGGATGCTGGGTGGGGAAAGGACTGGCCTGGGACACAGAAGGCCCAGCACCTGGTCTTGTCTCTTCCATTCACAAAGGTATGATGCTAAACCTTAGTCTGACCTCTGCTGGCCTACTTCCTTTGGCCATATTGGTCTCTATTCCTAGCCTACCCAAGGCATGGGTCGGATGATTATCTGAGAAGACACCTATCAGAGTGCTTTGTGAGCAGGGAGTGTAAGTCAAAGGGAGGAAGCCAGGGAGGTGACAGGGCTGAGTCACGACTACATGCTACAATGTAACACAAAGATCCTCCGAAGCAGCTGAGTGCTATGTCCCTATGCTAGATAACCCCAAACTCCTATATTACAAGTTTCCTTGTTTATAGTTTAATTTATCAAGACTTGGATTAAAAATGGGTGGTTGGTGTATGCCTGTAGTCCCAGCACTCTGGGAGGCTGAGGCAGGAGGATCACAAGTTTGACACCAGCCTAGGCAACTTGACAACTTACCAACTTAGGAAGAACATGTCTCAAAAAATAAAAGGGTTGGGAATGCAATCCCGTTTGAAAGTCAGTGCAAAGGCCCTGGGTTCAAAGACCAGTAGCAAAGAAAAAAAAAAGTCATGTTCTAGATTCAGCTTTACCACTCATTCCCTGAGATCTTGGACAAGTCAGGTCTCCTCTCTGAGTATCTGCCAAATAGAGGGTTAGATTCAATGACCCCAAGGTTTCCTTTACTCTTGTATTGTGTGATTCTATCCTCTTCCTGTCAAATGATTTGCTGACATTGATGACTCCAGACAAGGAGAGTAGGTGTGACCAATGGCCTTTCTCTCCTCACAGACCTTCGATGATCTTGAGTTATCAGGAAAGCAGTAACTTTTTTCTTTTGGTACTGGGGATCAACTCAGAACCTTGTGCTTTCGAGGCAGGCATGGTGCCACTGAGCTAAATCCCTGGCCCAGGAAAGTGGTAACTTTTACCAACTGCCCACTGCCCACCAACACACATTATGAACTTGCTCTTCCCTAATGCTCTTTACCTCATTTTTGTTTTTGTTTTACTCTTATAAATACCACATTAACATATATATCCCAAAATCTTTTTAAGTTCATACATTCAAAATCTATCATATGAATAGGCTAAAATTCTTACCTCCCAGAAAGCTTGATCATCAAAATATTTAGCCGCACGAGGTGCTTTCCATATTTTGAGCTTTAGGAGAAAACCTTAAAACAAATGATAACAAAGTGTTGAAACATTTGTGGCATGGCATTGTTATGTCGAGATTAATCAACACATTGTATGTGGGCTACAGTATCTCGACAGAAATCACTTCTCTCCCACCACGGAGAGACAGACAAATGGGAGACCCATTCCTGGGTCGGGTTCATTAATTCTGTAGCTATCTTCTAATAGGAACTGGAAAGTGCAATGTTCTCCAGTATTCTCCAAAAGGTTGAAATGACACTGAGCAGCCCTGATTAGCTGTGGATCAGATGCTCTTCTCAAGACAGAATAGAAGGGCTGTGGCAGATGGCGTTCCTCTCCAAAGCTGACCCATTTAAAACTCAACAGCTACCATGGAGAGCGACTCCCAGGAGGCATCCCATAGGTCCGTCTTCAAAAGCTCCAAAGCCCGGCCAGCAGCCTCAGCTCAAGCTTCTGCTAGTGCAGTGAGGAACACCATTTGTGACCAATTGCTCTCGTTTTCTGTTCTTCCTATTTTTTGTTCATCCTCTGCAGCTTGACTCTACACATCCCTTTAGCTTTGCAAAGTCAGCTGAATTTCCCAGGACACATTGCGTGCTTGTCTCTCTCTGTCTCTCTCTCTCCCTCTCCTTCTCCCTCTCCCTCTCCCTCTCTGTATGTGTTAAGAGACAAGGTCTTGTGTTGCCAGGCTGGCCTCAAACTTCTGGGCTCAAACAAATGATTGAGCCTTCCTGAGTAGCTGGGATAACAGGCATGCATCACCACACCCAGCTATTTGTACACTTTTAATGATGATGGCTTCAGTGTATTGAATAATACGATTAACAAGAGTAGGTGTGTGTTTAGTAAAATACAAATTTTCCTTTCAGAGTGTAGCCTTTAACTGATACTGATATGCAAAGTGAAGCCACAGTATTTCTTGTAGCTAAAATCACTCAGAAATAATCTGTCACCTGCTCAAATTATCCAGATAGCAGAAGCTTACTCATCACTGATGAAAACTCATCTCAAATATATATTCTTGTCTTATGAGACAACACTGAACATATTTGCAAACTTTTAAAAAATCAGAACCAAGGAGACCGAACCGGTGAGGACCCCTGGGCATGCCCACTAGCCTCCAGCTTAGCCTCGTGGGCGCCTGCAGCAACAGGGCCCCCCTCCCCTGCCTCTTGGCTGTACAGCTACTTGGATCCACACTACAGAGGCACAGCAGGGGCATAAAGGCCATTGTCCTGAGCTGCAGAAGTGAACAACAGAGAGAGGGCCTCTTTCAGGCTCCCTAATGAAAACTGAAGCCCACTGGAAAAGTGAAGAGAATCTCTGCAATAAAGGCACACCAGACCACCATGCTTGGTAAGTTGGAGGGATCATCACCTCCCATTGGAACCTGGACTATCTTCAGGGGAAAGGCAGCTGGAACCTGCAGTAGAAC